GAGTTAATGTCTGACTTCAAAGATTCCAAGGACAGGCTGACTCTTGTTAAGGGCTAATGCAACTTGTGACTTTAAGTTGAAGCCAGTGCTCACTTACCATTCTGAAAACCCTAGGGTCCTTAAGAATAATATTAAATCTATGCTACCTGTGCTCTATAAGTAGAACAACAAAGCCTTGTCAACAGCACATTTGTTTATAACATGGTTCACTGAATATTTTAAGCCCACTCTTGAGAACTTACTGCTCAGGAGAAAAGACTTCTTTTCAAATATGACTGCTCGTTAACAATGCATCTGCTCACCCAAGAGCTCTGATGGAGATGGACAATGAGATGAATGTTGTTTTCATGCCTGCTAACCCAACATCCATTCTGCAGCCCATAGATCAATAAGTCATTTTAATTTTCAAGTCTTATTTAAAAAATACATCTGTAAGGCTATAGCTGCCATAAACATTCCTCTGATGATCTGAGCTAAGTTAATTGGAAACCTCTGAAAAGGATTCACCATTTTAGATGCCATTAAGAATAGTCATGACTCATGGGAAGAGGTCAAAGTATCAATATTAATAGGTGTATAGAGAAGATTATATTAAGAAGAGTATAGAAGAAGCTGATTCCAACCTTCATGGATGACTTTGAGGGGTTCAAGGCTTCAGTAGAGAAAGTAACTACAGATGTGGAAGTAGCAAGAGAACTAGAATTTGAAGTGGAGCCTGAAGATGTGACTGGATTGCTACAATCTCATGATGAAACTTTAACAGATGAGGAGTTGCTTCTTACAGGTGGGCAAAGAAAGTGATTTCTTGAGATGACATCTACTCCTGGTGAGGATGCTGTGAAGATTGTTGAAATGACAACAAAGGATTTAGAATATTAAATAAACTTAGTTGGTAAAACAGCAGCAGTAGGGTTTAAGAGGGTTGACTCCAGTTTTGAGAGAAGTTCTACTGTGGGTAAAATGTTATCAAACATCACATGCTACAGAGAAATCATTTATGAAAGGAGGAGTCAATTGCAAACTTCATTGTTTATTATTTTAAGAAATTGCCACCCTGTTAAGTCAGCAGCCATCAACAGTGAGGCAAGATCCTCCACCGGCAAAAAGATTACAACTCACTGAAAGCTCAGATGATGGTTAGCATTTTTTAGTAATAAACTATTTTTTAGTTTAGGTGTGTACATTCTTTTAGAATGCTGTTTTACATTTAATAGACTATAGTGTAGTGTAAACATAACCTTTATATGCACTGGGAAACCAAAAAATTCATTCAACTTAGCTTACTGGAGTATTCACTTTGTTGCAGTGGTCTGGAACCAAACCAGCAGTACTGCCGAGGCGCACCTGTATGGTCAGTAAGAGCCGTCTGTCTTCTCCCTTGGCTGTGAATGCCAGGAGATCTGAGACTGTGTCTCCTCCCCGTGGTGAAAAGTAGAGTCCTTCATTATTCACTGAAATGATGTATTTAGCTGATTTGGGCTCATTGCCGACCTCTGCTACAAATGCTGATTAAGCCTTTCCTCTGTGGTCCATAGAGAAGTTTTCACATGTGATAGTTGCCCGGCAGAAGGGAACCCATCAATGTGAGAATGCCCAAGGGAGGATTAAGACATACGCAGTTTGCACATGGCTCCTCTCAGTGGATGGCAGCATCAAAGGACAGATGAAACTTACCCACACGTGAAGCAGGCTGGGCGCATCTCCCTCTGGTGCCTCCCTTATATCAGGCAAATGAGATCTAGGGGACCCTGGGGTCTCGCTCTGTTGCCAGAAAATGCCCACCATCCATAGTGGTATTGGTAATATCCTGAAGTCAAGTTTACAAGTGAATAGATCTGGCATCCATTTTGTTCTGCACTGATGTTTAGGGTCATCTGGGAGTTGGGAGGTAGATACATGACTCCATTCCTGATCTCTGTGGTATTTATATTTGCAGCTCTTTTGTTATTTTTCAGAGCTCCCCTTGTCCCTTTTGAAGAAATGCTGAATTTAAACACTCTAGTCCTGTTTGGGGACTGGCCAGATAGAGTCTCTGGAGCCAAAGCCAGCTACCTCCTCCCCATCTCCACTGACCACACTTCACAGGCACAGGGGGAATGAGGACTGTTAAAGCAAAGAGGATCCCCAGCAGCTCTGCATGTCACTCTGCTCTGGCTTCCCTACTCTCCTGATTTTCAATCCACTCTCTACACTGTGTCCAGGGGCCAAATCCTAAAATGCAAATCTGACCGTACTCCTCCCCTTCTTAAAAATCCCTCAATAACAACCTTTGTCCAAAACAAGATCAAGATCAGGTGCCCTACCTTGGCATTAAAGATCCTCTGGGACCCTGCCTCCCTCTCCTCCTTGCACTTTATGTTGAGGCCCAATTATTGGAGGTCTACACCATGCTTTTTCTTTGCCCCTGTGCCCTTGCTCTCATTTCAACTTCTTGGACTGTCCTTTCTACCCCTATTAGCTTGACTAAATCCAGCTCATTCTTATAAGCATATGATCAGTTGCCATCTTCTTCAGGAAACATTCTGAAGATCCTCCTACTATGAGTTAAGTGTCTCTTGTCTATGTTCTCTTCCCTTTGTACCCTGTGCCTACCCCTAACATGGCATTTGATGCCACTTGATATTATGTGTGTCTGTGTCATCCACAGCACAGCCAAGGGCTCCTGGAGGACAGAGGGAGTTATTCATCATTGTATGATCTGTCCTGGCAAAATGCCTGGCACAAAGTCAGCATTAAATAAATCCTGGTTAGATAGAATTGCAAATTCTTCTAACTTCCAACTTGGAGAATGATTGCCGATTTGTTAGATGGACTGTGCTTGTCATATTTTCAAATCCACAGGCATAGCAGTTCTATTAATATAAAAAAGTAACCCAGTGCTAGCTTTGAAAGCCAAAGAAGCTCCATTTTCTTGAGGACTAACTGAGCTCTACCTTCCTTCCAGGACTCAGTTCTCCAAGTGCAGGGCAAACCCCATGAGAGTTGAGACAGTGTAGTCAAGTACACGGTCATTGTCTCAGGTGAGATTTGTGACAACACAAAAGCCCAGACATTTCTCATAAAGGTCTCTGTGAGAGAGTCATCTTAATTTAAAACATTTGGGAGACCTATGACCATTTCTTCCTAAATGCTCAGAATTCCTTCATGTTGAAATCACCAGGCTGGCTGCTTTTTTCAGCAATCTTTCAAGATGTATCTTTGCATTATCTGCATTACTTATTCTGTTCAGGTAATGGTCAATAAAGTTTCCTTTAAAACAATCACTTTTCAGAGGGAAATGGAGGATTCAATCATGTATTTTATTCACCAACAGATACTGAGTATCTCTTATAGGTGTACATCTGTGAGAAAAAAATAGACAAAAATTCTTGCCCTAGTGGAGCTAACATCTTAGTGAGAAAGATGGAAGACAAACATTGTAAAACAGCATATTATGTAATATGTACTAGGAATATGTAATAGGTACTAGGAAAAATAGAACAAGTAAGGGGAATCAGAAGTGTGGTACTGGTGCTTTTGTTGATTGGTTGATGGTTGTTGGTATTCTTAGAGGGGCAGGAGTGATTTTAACAGAGGGAGTGTAGACCTCACAGAAAATTGAAACGTTTGTGCAGACACTCGAAGGAGATGACAGAGAAAGGCAAGTGTATATGCAGACTGGTGGCACAGCCAATACAAATGCCTTAAGAAAGTTTGTAAAGGAACAGTGAGGAGGGCAGTGTGGGGGATGCAGAGTAAGTGAGAGGGAGGGTAATAGGAGATGAGCCAGGAAATTCACAGGGTAGGCGGGGCTCAACTTACACAGAACCCAGTAGATCTTCATAAGGACTTTGGTTAGTACTCTGAGTTCAACAGGAACCCATTGCAGGATTTCAAAGAGAGGCATGACATGATCTGAGGTTATCACTGATCCCTCTGGTTCTGTGTTAAGAGTAGACTTACAGAGCAAAGGTGAAAGTAGAAAGAGATCCATTAAGAGTTTACAACTATCATCCAGAGGGAAAAAATTCAAGCTTGGATTAGTGTAGAAGTAGAGGTATGGTGAGATGTTATATTCTGGACATATTTTGGAAGGAGACCTAATAGAATTTCCAGATCCCATTAGGGTATGACAGAAGTGAAGGATGACACCAGTGTTTGGAGCCTGAGAAACTGAAGGGGCAGAGATGGAGTCCCTGTGCAGGGCAACCAGAAGTTGGATGTACTACATTTGAAGCTTCTATTGGCTCAAGTGGCATTTAGATGCAGAAATCTAGAGTTCCAGAGAAAGGTCAAGCTGTAATTGTAAAGATGGTTGAAATGTAAATGGAGAAGAGAAGAGGTCCATGGACTAAAAACTGGGACCACCCAACACTTAAAGGTAGGGAAAAGAAGAGAAACCAATAGAGACTGAAAAAGGGAAAGTCACTGAAGTATTAAAACCAAGAACAGTGTCCAAAGACAAGGGAGAAGAATTTTTTTTTCCAGAAGGGAATGATCTGATCTGTCAGCTGCTGTCAATAGGTCAAATGAGATGAGGACTGACAATTGACCCTGGATTTATCAATGTGCTAGGTATTAGTGAAAATGGGATACTAGGTTAAATAATGTCTCCCTGAAATTCTTACCTACACAGAACCTCAGTGTGTGACCTTATTTGGAAATAGAGTCTGCAGATATATTTAATTAAAATGAGGTCATACCAGACTAGAGTGGACCCTAAATACAATGACATGTGTCCTTATAAGGAGACCGTATGAAGACACAGAGACACACAGGGAGAATGCAATGTGATGATGAGGCAGGAATTGAAGTATCACAACTATAAGCCAAGGGAAGCAAAGGGTTGCCAGCAACCACCAGAAGCTAGGAAGAGGCATGGAAGGATTCTAACCTAGAGCCTTCAGAAGGAGCATGGTCCCACTGACACCTTGATTTTAAACTTGTAGCCTCCAGAACTATAAGAGAATATATTTCTGTTGTTTAAGCCACCCAGTCTGTGGTGTATTAGTTTCCTAGGACTTCATAACAAAATACCACAGACTACTTAAACACAGAAATGTATTCTCACAGTGCTGGAGACTGGAAGTCGGAGATCAGGTTACCAGCATAGTTGTGTTCTGGTGAGGACTCTTCATGGTTTGTAGATGGCTGCTGTCGCACTGTGTCCTCACAGGGTGGGTGGAGAGAAAGGGAGTTTGGGAAGGAAGAACACTAGCTCTTGGGTTCTCTTCATATAATGGCACTAATACCATCACAAGGACCCCACCCTCCTGACCTCATCTAATCCTAATTTTCTTGCAAAGGCCCCATCTGCAAAATACCATCACAGTAAAAGTTAGGGTTTCAACATGAATTTGGGGATACACAATTTAGTCCATAGCACTTGGTAAGCAGTCATTTATTCAACATTGCTGTACTTCTATTTCCTCATCTGTAAAGTGGAGATAATAACAATTCCTACCTCTGAGAATTATGGTGTGGAGTAAACTAATATATGTAGTATTCTTAGAAGAGTGCACACTAAATGCTGTGTAATGCTAACTATTATAATGATTTACAAATCCAATCATTTTGTTTTGAAATTGAAACAGTCATTTTCACTTGTTCTTTGCTTAATTTTCAATTAGCTCATTAATTTGACAGATTAAACTTCCCTAAACTTCTAAACATCAATTTCACACTTAATCAAATTCTCTAAACATTTCAAACAAAGGAAAAAAACCTTATTAATCTAGCAAATAAAATTCTAATATTTAAGCACTATTTAAGCAATTGATTGACTTAGTTGCCTTAAACATTTCAGACTAAATTCAGAAATTTAAAATGTGATTGCATAAAGTACTTCAAACATCTGTCACAGTAGGTGTTAAAATTGTTCTCACATACTGTGAACTCTTATAATGCTAATAAGTAAAATCTTACACATTTTGATTAAATTCCCTTAAGCATTTCAACATCTTAAAAATCAAATTTATAAATTTAGTATTTGGATCTTCCTAACCATTTCAATGTTGACTGTAAACTTAGTTATCCTAAACATAAGTTATCCTAAATATATCCATTGAAATCATAAACCTAGCACTTTTCTACTGTATTATAGCATTAATCATTTACCTTAAAAACCTAAACAGCAGAATTGTGATAACAAAATGTGCTATTGCACTCAAATAAATATGATTTACACAAAAGCATCAATACTTAGTCATTTGTGATTCTTATTCATTAGATTTCTCTGGTGTTACAAAGTTACTTTTCCAAATGACAGAAACAGAATTATAAGCTTCAAGTCCCCTTTACTTTGTGGCAGCTGCCATTAGGTGGCCATTCAGAGGTCTGAGTCCCAAGCTGCAAAAGTACGATAACCGTACAGATATGGGACAGGGCATGCTGGGTTGCCTCCCAGGGGAATTTCACCAGAGCTATGCATTAACAAGGCAAGTCCTTATGATTGGTGATTGGCTCCTGCTGGCTATATTGTTGGTGGGAGACACCCCAAGCTTATTAAGTGGAATTTCATTTCACAGTTCAGTGCATCGTGTATCCTAGGAGTCTTTCAACCTTCTTCCTTACTCAGTTTTTTAATCATAACTTTTTTCCTTTTCATCCTCATTTAGGTAAATGGAATTCTGTGTGTGCATATGCATGCACACATGCACGTGTGTGCATGCACACACACACACACACACAGCAGTTACAGTAAGCTTCCTGATGAGACTTCATTTACTCCCTGTTCTTTCTCATCCTTGATTCTCTCGCCTTTTCTGACAGCTGTGAGCTCTTTCAGAGTAGGATGTACATTTGTCATCTTTGTATTTCTAACGGACATCGTGTGTGCCTGGTGCTCGGTAAATGTTGGATGAATTATTGAACAAATGTAGTTAATTGTTAACCTGAATTAACAAACTCTAACTATCCACCACCTAACTTCTTCAGGTAGAGTAAGTTTTGCCTTCCAGCAATTTCTGAATTTGCCCCTTCATCTAGAAAACCGAGGCAGTATTCTTACCTTTGGAATGACACCTCACTTATAGCCCTTGCTTCTCACTTATTTCTGATGAACCCACCTCACTGACGTCTGCATTTCACACGTGCTGCACCCTTCCCCTCAAATTTGACTTACAGTGGATCTCAATGCACTTTCCTATGAAGTCTGGACTGTTTAGAATTCTTTTCCGAACTGTGAATCCTCTTTAGAAAGGAGCCGTGATGGAGTTGGCATCCAGGGTCCAATAAATGGCCATCCTGGACATAGAATTTAAGAGCATACCTTTGGATACATAAACACACGATGGCAGATTCTGGCTCTACCATTTACTCTGCTTGCAATATGGCCTTTCTGAGACTCAATTACCTCTGTAAAAAATATAGTTGTAATATCCATCACAGGTGGTCAAGGCAAATATTCAGTGAGAATAAGCTATGCAAAAGTCTTAGGATAGCATAGGGTGCTTGCATGCTCAATAAGTCATAGTTATTACCCAAATGGACTTTCATTTTCCATGCTATTGCTCCAGTCTCCTGAATGACAGTGTAGTTACATGCACACTGCCGTATTTCTTCAACATACTGATTCTTAAGAGGGCGAGTGGGAATAAAGAATGCCCTCTTTGAGGAAAGGGAGAAGCTAATTCTAAGCAGGTAGGGCAGTTTCCTCATATACTTGCAAAGCTGTGCTAAATAATAGTGAATAAAATCTTAAGATTTTTATGCTTTTTGAATCATTTAAAATACAAGTTTAAAAATAGGCATGTATAAGATTGACTCATGTAATACATCACTTCAATTTTTGACAAACTTGTTAGTTCAAAGCCCTTAGATATTTCCCGTAATCCAAACCCACTTTCACATTCACAGGAAGATATTATCTAATAATCCACCCAGTCTTTTCATGTTCTTAATTTGGGGTTGGTTACCATGGCCTGTCTCATATCACCTGTCATTTTTGTGATCAAAATGTCGCTTTGCATTACACTTTTCATAGAGACAGTTCTCATCTTTGGTTTCAATTCAGTTTAATTCAAATCAGATCCATGTGTCTTAGGCTAATTGAATTTGCTTAAATTCCCTCTGTTCAGATATGATTGTAACAACCACTTCCTGATGATGCCACTGAAGTTCTGATACCTTCCAACCTCTGGTGCTGCCTGGGAGGCCACTAGGTCTGATAACAAGGACGCTGCTGTTCCTGCCTGCTGAAATGGGCCCTGGCCAGCACTGGAAACAACTGGGCCAGCCTCCTGGCCACCAGTGCTTGACCACCACTATATCTACACCCCGCACCTAAATCACGCTGGGTCAGTGCCCTTCTTAACTACAGGAAAATCTTCCCTTATACCTCATTTTACAGAAGTTCTGGCTGGAAAGCAGCCCATTAGCTTATAAGAGTCTTTTTGTTTTGTTTGTTTGGTTGAGTTTTCCAGTCGTCCTCTACACAAAAGACAGACAAAAAGGGTTGCCACAGCACAGCTCCCCCATGCCATGCTCAAAATTGCCCTTCTCCTGGAATGACCAAACTACTTTTTACACACCTGACTTATGTACATGGCTTTCTAGGAGAAGTTTGTTTCCAAGAAGCTTCTCTTGCAAACCTCTGGTAGGGATGATGCCACCACTCTGCCGGACATACTGAAACTCCTTTATCCTGTCACCTTATGCACTGGTAGACTAAAAGCATCCTGGGGCCCTAGTGGCACTGTCTGGAGCAGGAAAACAAAGGATGCTAGAATCAGGCAAGATGAGGGCCCAGAAAACAAACCCAGCTAAAGAAGGGGGAAAGCAGTAGGCCACTCCACAGTATTTCCAGGGGCTAAGCTTGATTCCAGCTCACTGCATATGCAAGGATACTCATCAAGTGAGCAAAGCCCATTTATGACAGTGTAGCTCCAGGCCAGAGCAGGTTCCCAGCTTCGGGCAAGTTCACTCTGGATTTTAGTGAGACTGAAAAATAAAAACAGAACATTTGGGGGTTAAAGGTCTTACATCAAGCTTCATCTCATGATGATAAGTCAAGCAAGTCTGCATGCAGCAAGTCCATCTCTACCTCTACCTCTGCTCCAGGCTCTCTGCGAGCACTGGGCAAATCTCTTTATATAGCAACATAGGCAAGAATGGCTTATCGCCAAAAGGTATGCAAGCTTGCACCTGCCAAGTATTGCATCATTGCACACGCACAGTGGGCAAGTAGATTAGGATCAGTTGAGGATCCTGGCCATGGAACTTCAATTTGCAGGCAGTCAGCCCTGGGCTATGATTTGGCCATCAGCAGCATGGTGTAATGGTGCCCTTGGGCATAAGATCTGGCAGAAGATTGGCTGAGGTCCTGGCCCAGCCCTCTAACAAGGTTTCAGATAAGGCCATAACCAGATACAAAGGCGGTCTCTAAGGCTGGGAACTTTGGGGGAGCTCTACCCAAAGCAGTCTGAGGGGACTGCTCAAGTGGAGAGGTGAAACTAAGGTCAGAATGGGGAAAAATGGAGGTTGTGCATAGAACCAAGAAGGCAAATGAGATACACATGCAGGTCACTAGCCAAAGGAATCCAGAGAAAGTTGGAAGCCATAAGTGGCATAAGACACCTGCTGCATCCTGCTGGCTTGGACTAGGTTTTCTTAAAATTACCTCATCTGTCTGGATTTACAGTGTCTAGAAAGCCATGGCAGATGCTTACACATATAGAATGGACTGCTAAGAGTGAGTTTAGGAATGAAGTAATTGCTAAAGCTTAGACTTTGAAATTAGAAGTCTTGAGTTCAAATCCCACCTCTGACGCTTAATAACAACATGGCTTTGGCCAAATTAATCTCTTTACAGCTCTGCATCCTCTAGTAAAGAACCTCATAGGGTTCTTTTAAGGATTTGTAAAATTCATATCTTAGTGTCTGGCATACAGTAGGTACTTAAGAACTGAAGGGATGTGGCACTTGGCCTAGTTGACTAATAGCACAGCTGATTCCAGACTGCATCATTGGTGGGGCCGAGCCTGTGGACACTTGGCCCTCCCTGAAAAGGAAGGACTCAGGGACTGGCAAAGCTGGGCCTGCAGGTGTGAGTCTCCCAGATGAGAGAAGGGGCTGAGGGAGGGTCCTGCCTGATGTGGGTAGTGGGGTTGGAAGTAGAGCCATTCAGAGGGTGCTCCAGAGCATCAGCTGATTTGGGAAAGTTTATTTGAATCACAATATAAGGCAAATATCCATTCACATTTTCCTCCTAGACTCAGAAAGGAGCACCCCTTTCCCAGGGGTATTGGTGTACCCACTCTCAGGCAAACACTTCAGAACCAAAGGTTACAGTCAGATGCAGCTTTCCCTCTACAGTACATGTACACTATGGTTTTTATTACTTTCTCTAAGTTAAAGCCCCACATGTGAACATTTGATCTTTGAAATGCAGTCCAAATAGTGCAGCTCAAGAATGCTTGCGGCTCTCCCATATTTACGTGTGTATTTTTTGTTATTGCTATATCCATGGAAGTGATTCTGGTTATTTTCGTATGACTACAGCATAATACCCTTAATCTACACTGGAAGATGCCCTGTGTTTAAATTAAGTTGATGCTGGGCTGAGTGTGAAACACAAGAAGTCTTGCTGCTTGAAGTCTGGAGCTCCACTGACAGAGCCCAGCCCTCACAGGGTGGTCATACCACTCAGACCCCCTGTTCTCCCAGCCTCACCTCCTCCTGCCCCCCGGCTCATACTGGACTCTCACTAGTCCTCCCAGGTGCCATATGCCCCCTCCTGCTTCTGTGCCCTGGCACAGGTGTTCCTTCTGCCCAAAATGGCTCTCCTGCCTTCTCTCCTGATGGATGGATGCCTTTCAGCCTAAATGGCCCAGCTCAAGACTTTTATCTCAGAATCCTCTCTGTAGACCCCCTCAATCCCTTCAAAGTTCATCCTTCCCTCTGCTTAGCTCCTGTGCATTTTATGTACATCTGTTACTCAGCTTCTCATGTTGTGATTTCTGCCTATGAGGCCTTTGAAAGCAGGGCATGTGCCTTACTCATGGGTTCTGTACCCCCAGCATCTATCACAGTGCCTGTTTGTTTGGTACACCAAATTAAAAATATTAAAAATATGGATGAAAACCAAAGCATTCTTTTTGTTTCTTCTTCGTACAGAAACGATGACTATGGGTAAGAGGACTACTAGTGCCAAGACACAGTAGGACAACAATCTTACAGAGATCTTCAGTAATTTTTCCCATCCAGCAACACCCAGAAGACTCCAGTGACCAAACGCTGAGCTGTAACCACAGCAATAACTGGCCCTCTTTGCAGACTGGGTTTGGTGAGCATGAATGGTCAGCCATCTTCAGTGGCCCAAGATGATATGTGCAGGGGAAGCACGTCTCTCACGGCCAAGAACCAAGATCGGACTATGGAAGAAACCAACTGGTGCAGTGAGAGGACTGAGAGTACCTGGCGTACCAAGGCTCTCAGAGATTAACATAAGGCCCTTGGTGATGGGGTCCCAGCACCTGCCCTGGCAACGTCACACTGACAGGATGCCATTTGCTTGAGTGCCCTGGAAGGATGGAATATTTAAAAATATATCCAGGTGCTAAATAGGCAGCAGATCTAATTCACACTGGACTATCTTTGAGCTAATAACTGTCTCCAGAAAATCATTTTGCCCCAAGACATACTCCAGCCCAACAAGGAATAGCCTGAGGAGGGCCATAGGATGAGATTCTATTCCCCTGGAGCAATCTAGTGCAAGGATTTAAAGAAAATCTCCAGCAAATTCACTGCCCCCTCCCATTCACATGGCAGAGAGTACCAGTGTACCATGGCCCTCTCTTCTGCTAACCTCAGATTCTAAGGAGTCAAATCCCCAACAGTGCTTTCCAGATAGCCAGCAGCCACTTCCTTTCCACTGGTTTGGCATTAGAATGAAAGTTCGTTGTCATCCCTGTTAGAGAGGCATACATCTCAATGGCAGAAGCATTCTGGATACCTTTTCCCTGAATATTTATCCACTGAGGGAACAGCCTCAGAAATAGATGTCCCATTGTATGAGTTGATGGAGAGGTAACACAGCCCTCCCCTGAGGGAAGGCACAACTTTTGGGCCTTCTTGGCCTGAGAGCCTTCTGGAGTATTTCCATATCCAACAGCCCAGAGGCATAGCCGTGGGAAGCCACAGACAGGTTTCCTTTTCGCTTCTAGATACATGTATCACTTTCACAGCACTTGGCGAGTGGAAATATCTGTAAGAATGAAAGTCAAGGGCTCTTCCCAGGTATCTCATTCATTGCTCAGCTTCCTTTGTGACCACTTCTGCCAACCCACTGCCAGCTCTGCTTCTCGTCCTCATTGCTTCTGCCTCCATGAACTGAAACCAAAGGCCTGAGTGCACCCAGGGGAGGAGCACTGTTACCTAGTGGTAGTCTCTCTCCTGTTCTGGGTGCAAAGTACTCTGCCCGCATTTATGCGCCAGTTCTCCAAGATGCATTTCCCCTTTCATACATTCCCTTTGCAGTGGAATCCAGACTTGGATTGTAGTTGACCTTCCTGGGAAGCTCATTATCCATTTGAATTAACATTTCAGTGTGAGACTAACTGGGTGGAAGCAGGGTCATTGCATGTCTTCAGAAAATTCTTGTTGCCACAGCTGCCTGGTGCAAAAAACTACCCTGTCACATCTAAAAAGGATGGAGGCTTTTGGTTGTGCGAGACAGTGTTACTACACTCTAGCTTCACATGTTCCCTGGCCTGCCCAGTCCATTTCCATCTCTGATTGGCTTTTGACCACCAGGATCCAAGAGAACGCAAGGCCCTGCCTATGTCTGATGACATGAGAAGAATTCAACTTTCTTGGCCGAAGGTTGGCCTCTGCCTATTCCTGCCTTTCCTGCCTACTACTCTCTTTCATCATCCTTGACTCAGACATCGTCTGCCGTCCCAGTGTTTTGAACCAAAGCATGAGGACTAGTGCCAGCAAGAGAGTCAGCAGAGATATCCTCTCTAGAGCCAGGCAGATAAGCTCAGAATGGTCCCAGAGAAATAAGACCAGCCCCATTAGATATCAAGCAGCCATCCCAATAAACTTGGGCACTTCCTTGGCACTGGGAGCCTGGCTAGGAGATCGTGGGGCAGCTATGCCTGTTGTTTGCCCTCAAGGTCTTCTTGCCCAGAAAGTGAGTAGCCCTGGGGTACTGAGTATATTACTGGCTGCTTGTTTGAAGCAGAAGGTGGCTTTGTAGGGACCAGCAGCAAATAGGCCTGCCTACATGGCTTTGTGTCTAGAAAGCTTTGCCTAGCCAGTCCAGCTATGGCCAGAGGCCAGTTATAAATCTGAAGCCCCTGAGACCATCTGCACCTCTGCCTCTGTTCTCTTGTGTTCTGTTTGGTTTCCCTTTAGTTTCCTAGTAAATGCTCCTTTTGAAAAATTCCAACCTTGTCTCATTGAACTTGGGCAGGGAGGTGGTGGGAAGGAGATTCTCCAGTGTTTTTTCCAGTGCCAGTCCTCTCAGTACACCCCCTATAAGAATAGAGAAGGAAATTAAAGTACCTTAACAAAATGGAAATGGCAGTGGAACAAGAAACACCCTGGTCGGATCTTAGAAAGATACTTTGGGGAAAGATGGTACCAAGAGATGGGGAAAGACCAGAGGCCCCCCCCACGCCCCTGACACCGATTCTCAGCCCCGTTGGCTGCCTTGGATATGTGTAATTGCCAAAGCATCTCCCCGCCAGTGAACCAGATGCATTCAGCAGGCGACACGATGCCAGGAGGCACACTGGCATGTGACCAGAGGAGGGGTACAGGAGGGAGGGAAAGGAGTGGCTTCTATAGTGTGGGCAGCATTTCCAACACTGTAAACAGTGAACTTAAAGGATGACCAAGGGATATGTCTGGACTTCCAAGAGTCCCATAAAGCCAGAAAACTTAGGTAAACCTATCTGGTAGACAAAATGTTGACATTTGGCTCCATTACAATAGCTTTCTGAGCCCGTGTAGAAGTAGCTGTCACTGGTGCTTTCTTAAAGCACTGCTCCTCTGTGTGAAGCCTCAGTGGGACCCACTGCCCCCGTTGTGCCTTTTCTGGCTTGGAAGAGAGAAAAGGCCCAGCATGGTCTTCAAGTCTCCCGATGTTTACGTGGGGAGGGCAGGTCCTTGTGGAGGAAGACATTTATGTAACAAGGGACGAGCTCATGACTTCCTGTGACTCTAGGGGGCAAGGTAAAGTCAGTTCGGGAAAGGCAGATTTCAGGCTTGAAGCTATAACTGCACTGGGGGTTAAGCACTAAGAAGGAAGATTAACTAAACTTCTGCCCCCCACTTGAAACTATTCCAGTGCATGATCTCACTGCTCTGGATGTAAAAACATTCAGCATAAAACATTTGCCCTTTTCTGGTAGACAGAAGCAGTGTTAGAGACCAGCTGGCCCTAGAAGTTTCAGAAGGAACTCAAACCAGTTACTTCCAAGCAGAGGACTGGTTGGACACAGCCCTGCCATGCGGGGAGGGCTGAGGATCTGCTCTGCCACTGACCAACCCTGCAACCTCCAGGCCTCACCTTCCTACCACCCTCCTGGCCCCCAAGGGTCTCTCCCCAGACTCTGTCAGTCCCTGGGGCACCCAGATCCGAAATGTACCAGAGGGAGAAATAGCAGTGCACTTGTGTCTGTACTTGACCCCCCACTCTTCTGGGCTTGAGAGGTCTTTGGCCATCCCTGAAGGGCTCAAGCACACAGCAGAAACTTGGCCATGGGAAACCCCTGCCTACAACTTCCTGCCTTGACCCAGTCTCCTACTGACCTTTCCTTCACAGCTTTTGGTCTCCCAAGGCTACCGCACACATGTGCACACAGCACGAGTGTGGTCCTTGCTCAATAGCAGCTCAGAAAAGGCTGGTCAGGACTTCGTGTCCCTCCCAGGCAGAGAAAATGATTGAGGAAAGCGAGAAATGCCAGAGATAAGGCAAAATGTCATGAATGCAGCTGAAATTTTGTCAACACCAGTACCAGTCCTCTCAGTACACCTCCTACAAGAAAGCTGGAGGGAGAGAAAGGGCGGCCGTGAAGGTCTCCCTAAGAGAGGGCTGCTTGACCAAGAAGTAGCGATTAGATGAAGGAAGGAGGGAAGGTAGTTTGTGTGGTTGGTTCAGAGTCAGGGCAGGAAGGAGGGTGGAGGCCAGGCATCTCCTTGCCTGGCCTGCTGCTTCAAGCAGCAGCTCATAATCCCTGCCTCGGGCTGTGATGGAAATGGTGTCCTGGGATCTCATGGGCTTGTCCCCTCTCATGCCTCAGCCCTGTGGCCCAGCAGTTGGTAGCATCGAGACAGAGGTGTCTGGGGCTACCAAGAGCAAGAGCCTCCCTTCTCCAAATGGCACCGCTCACACCAGCCAGCCCTGCCCCAGGGTGCACTGGTTTGGAGATGTGGGTTTCTCGGTCCTGATGCTCTATTGACTGCAAGAAGGTTTATAAAAATAAAACCACCCAGTTCACTTTATCTATTTAGTAATCTAATTAACAGTATCAATCAGATTTCCTGAGGAGGAGGGAGAAGAGAAAGGTTTATGGACACTTTTTGTAGATGGAATACATTCCCATTCAAATCTAAAATGGGAGAGGTCTAGAACCCCAGCCACAGCCAGATAACTGTCTAAAAAGCCTCTGTCCTCTAGTGGCTAAAGGCACAAACAATTATTTTGCACAAAACTGACTTCGGTGTTTGGGCCTAGAACACTGAACTGTGACCACCCAAGCAGATGCTCTCTAGGGTCAGGGGTAATTCCTTGACTTTCAGTCCTAGGGCTCTGATCCCGCGTGGGCTAAATGTTCACAGGTCCCCAGAGGCCTCACTTACTTGGGACCCTGTGCAGTAGAGACCAAGGGTAAGTCCTATGCTAGAGACAACATGGAGCCTGTATGACATCCAGCCTTACTGTACGTGCTGACCGGCCCTGGCCCTGGGGCCTGCAGGGCAGGGGCTCTGCGCAGGTGGCTATTGGACAGCATGATGGCATCTCCTGGTCAGCAAGTCTTCTCCAGCTGCAGCCACACCTTTCATACCACCAGAAGTCACTGACCATGTCCCATTCCCATCAGTGGCCCTCATTAATCAGTCCTCTCCCACAGTCTGTCCTCCCTCCACTCCCAAACCCTCCGCAGGCTGAGCGAATGTTGGCAAGACTTCAGGAGCCCTTGGCAGAGACATGGTCACCAGATGCTGTAGGAACAGACACTCTGAATAGGCCACTTGAGCCCGATCAGCCACACCTGGCACATCTAGCATTTACCTAGTGCTAGTTAGGACCAGACACCTGGCCGCCAGGGGGGATTAGTACATAGGAAACTGCCCAGGTAGCTTTCAAAAGCCAAACCAGGATGACCACAAAGACAAGTTTTGAGAGTTCTCAGGACTTTGGCGCAGATGGTTTTTATTTCAAAGAGCAGAGGCAGGCTATGACTGTCCCACCAAGCAAATGCTGGGCTGGCAGCCGTCCCATCTGAGGGACTGAGGGAGACAGGGCCAGACTCTTGCCTTCAGGGGGAGATTAGGGAAGGAAGTCCAGAACTGAGAAGATGTGAGCCGAATCAGACCCGGAGCAAGGGAGGGGGCTGAGAAGAGGTGAGGGGGGAGGGAGTGTCTTGGGAATGTCTCACTCCAAGTTACGACATTTCTGATACATGGAAAGGTTGGTGACACAGCAAAGGGTGTTGTAGGGACAGAATATAACTACAGGTGTATCTGACAAAGATGGGAAATTCCATAAACATTTACATTTGCCATTTTTCTGTTACATTTATAGGACCTTCTAGGGGTCCTCTCCTGGCTCCCTATATTCTAACATAAATCTCTAAGAGTTTTAAAGTAATTCTCCAAATATGTCATTATCCACTAGAAAAATAGCTTCAATAACCTCTTAGCCAAAAATTCTGTCAGAAACTCTCCTTAATGTCTAATTTAAATCTGTTCTATAATATGTCTATTCCTGTTTGTTAAATCTGGACACAGTATTTAGTTCCTGTGACCTTCCACAAACCTCTCCCTATCGCTTCACTCCCACCCCCTCCTTTCTGTATAATCCAAAGACTCAGATGACAAGCATAGCAAATTCATAAGAAAATCAGTACATCGAGGGGGAGTTAAGTACTTAAGAAAGGAGGGGGTCTTGAGTCCCATAAGTGCCTCCCAGACACCTGCAAACACCCCTGATCCTCACAACTGGGTCTTTAGGGCAAAAAAGTACTAATTCAGACTTTTTAAACACTTACTTTGGTATTTCACACCCCCCTTCTCCATCCCAGTGCCCCTCTCCCACCCCAAGAGGCCCCAAGTTGTAAGGTTTGATTGTCCTTATAAAGTCCTCCCTGAACAGCTGCCACAGAGGCTGGAGGGTCCAGGTTTATCTTTTGGTGTCTCTATGGGGTGGAAGGAAGGTGGAAAGAAAGATTGTTTCCTCCATGAAATGTGAAAGGGCCCCTGGGATTTCATGTAGATGAAAATATGCTCACTATTCAGGGAAGAGGAATTCTTTACAGCCTAGAGGTAAAGCAAGATAAAACGTCAGACCCAGCAAAGTCTCTTCTCATCTTCTCTGCCTGCCAAAACTGTCCTTTCCTTGAAGCCATTCTGGACAGAGCCCAGTGCGGGACTGGACAAGGTTGGGGCTGCACTCAAAGGTGGAGAGAAAGGAATGAGATTTCCAAGATGGGCCTGTCTGAGTAGGTCCTATAGGGCTCTACTGGGGTCACTGGGATGGGGTCCCTTGCCCACTGCTAAGGCCTGTGAACCTAAAGGACAGAGACCAGGGACCACAGTCCGGGAGGGTGCTGCAGATTGAAATTGGAGTAAAGAGCCCCAACGCAGTTAGATGCTGTTATGGAGGAGGCCAGGGAGAGCGGCGGAAACAAGTCGTGATCCCAGGAGAGCAGCTGAGCAATAAAATTAGGAGGCACCTCTCATAGTTTCTGAAGCCCAAATCTAAATCTAAGCCCAGACTATTTCATACGCTGTGAGGATACCAGCAGGAGAATGAGTCTTTTTTTTTTTTTTTTTTTTTTAAGGATTGAATGGAGACAGAGAGGGGAAGGGAAAGAATGGAAAATATAAAAAGCATATCCAGGAGCTAAAGAGCCTCAGGTGTCCTTACCTGGTCAGTATCAAGGCAAACATGTCTCCGCACCTTAATAATCTGTGATCCCTGATGCCATACACTAGCTGATCTTCATAATATCATCCTGTGTTGTTAAGAAAATAATAAATGGCTTTAAAAAGTAAATAAGTTTGAAATATATTTGACAAGATTGCCATTTAAATATGTAAGGTTAAAAAACTTTAACATTTTCTAGGGGAAAACAAAACGTGTTTTCTGAAAATTTCTTTGTGAAAGATGTCTCAGTCCCCTGAAAGGATAGAGAAGTGGGGAGTTGGATCCACAGCACTACATGGCTTGTAAATCTGACACTTCTGACAGCTTGGTCTTCACAGGTATGTGGGATATGTTGAACCACAGTGAAATTATCTCATATCTGTCCAGCTTACTAAAGGCTGGAGGGCACTGGGCCTTTCAAAATAATATCAGATTTGAGGTCAATGCAAAAGTCATTCAGTGGGCCTCTCTGAGGGACCTAAGGTTCTTACATCATCTATGCAAAATTCCAGGTGGCTTTCAGAGAGACCATCAGGTGATGTGACCTGGCCACAAGGTGGGAAGGGGCATGGTTTAGACATGGGACAAGTCCTGGAGGCAAGTAGAACCCAGACCATGAGGAAAAATGCCTTTCTCTCAGGAGTTAGTCTAGGCAAGGGTATGTGTCCAAACAAGGCTGTTAAGAGACATATGGTAAAGACAAGAAGAGGAGCAGAAGTTGGGCCCAAAGGCAAGCTCAATGCCGAGAGGCAGTCTTGCTGGCCAGAGATACTCTTAAAGGTCCATGACCTACCTGTCCATCAGGAATATACTTCACACTCACCCCTCCTCTTGTGCCTACCTTTTACTCATGCTGTGGATCTTAATTTAGATGCACCTTACTTGCAAAACCTTATCTGATCCTGGAAATTAGGGCTGCCGTAACAAAATACCACAGACTGGGTAGTTTAAACCACAGAAATGTATGTACCACAGTTCTGGGGGCCTTTTCCTAAGGACACCAGACAATTAGGTTAGGGCCCCGCAACAGCCTTATTTTAGCTTAATCATCTTTTTAAAGGCCCTAGCTCCAAATACAGTCACATTCTGCAGTACTAGGGTTTAGGATTTCAACATACACACTTTGCAGAGGGACACAATTCAGCCCATAACAGGTCTACATTTCTTCTGATCCTCCTACATGCCTGCCTCAGGGCAGCCAGCCCACACCTCTCCTCCAGAGCACCAATGTCCTGATGAGCCTTCCCCACAGGTTTCCAAGATTCAGACTTCAACATGTCATGGAAACCAGTGAAAGGGAGCTACTGTGCCTTGGATGGGGGTGAGGAGGTGATAGGAGACTGGAAGGGTGAGTGAGGGTTTTCTGGGTACAGGGGGAAGGAACATTCTAGGCTGAGGGACCATGATAACTTTCACAGGGAGTTTGAGATCAGTTACATGTGGTTCTTGTGGAAGCTGAATGTGGGGATAGGAAGAGTTGAAGCAAGAGGAATTGTCTGAGCTCACGTTTTGAAGTATTTTCATTTTGGCATAAAATCAGTCAACGCTTTATCTAAAGAGATGTAGATTAGGGATTGGAGTCAGCTCCAATCAGTCAGACAGGAAACAATACAGTTATTTATCAAAGGTCAGCAGATTGGTGGATGATGTTACAGCAAGGAACTATTGAGAGCAGGACAGGAGTGATAAATAAAAGATAAAGGAAAAAATCTGGGGGAAAAGGGAGAAGGAAAAAGAGACATCCTGTTCAGATCTAAATGATGAATTCTAATATCCCCAATGGGATTCTGTTGAGATGGGCTCTGCCTTCTTATAGACTCTCCTGGAGTTGGCCAGAGCCTCTCAGTAAAGCGAATCAATGGGGAACAGAGCAGAGAAGGCTTTAGAAATCAGTGGGCCAATTAATTTGGAGGCACAGCAGCAAAAGGACCACCAGTGATAAATGTGGCAAAGAATTCCAAGAGGACTTGGAAAGCTGGCTGGTGGCTGATTGGGCTGGCCTTGATATGTCCAGTTTGGACTGGTCATTTAGGGGGAACAAGCAACTCAGAACTGGGCTTACAGGTCAAGGACGAGTGGCTAGAGCCAACCACACTGAGGCAGTAGTGGTGGCTGTCAGAAGGATAAGTTGCCTTTCTCAGGATGCTGGAGCAGGACAGTGAAAGGATCAGGCACTTGCAGAGGACAAAAGGGGGATCCATTAGTGGGCTTACAGCCATAGTTAAAGCCAGAGGTTGAACTTAAAGAAGGCTAAAGAGCCAAGCAAATGCTTCTATCCCTGTAGCAGGTGCTGGAACACCAAGCCATCTTCTCCATGCCACATACCACTGAATAAGACCTGCTCTGAATATGGCCGCTGTTGGCCACTGTTTGTCAGTCAGAGCTGTGACTCTCTCCAAAGTGGGTTTAGTTTTTCTTTATGAAACCTCTGGTCACAAGAGTAAAGCCCTTTCCCAGGTGTAGGGTAGGTGGCGTCAGACTGGAGAAGCCAGGCTTGTCCCGGTGAAACTAGAGACTGAAGAGGGAGAGTGTGGGGCTGGAATCCATGGTGGGCAGAGAGGGCAAGGCCTGCCAGGCTGGACCAAAGGGCTCTGAGGCCAAGCTCCTTGGCTCCCACCCCAGAGAGAGGACGTCAGGGCCCTGGAGCAGCAGGGGGTTCGTGCTGCAGCCAGCTTCCCACTGCATTCTCACCCAGTCTCCAGCACCACTTTAGACTCCCTTAGCACTGAGCATACAGTTCATTGTAAAAAAAATGTGAGCATGCTATAGAAAGGAGTTTTACCTCCACTGGACCTTATCCCTCTTAGTTTACGGTCTCAGAATTAGGACTTGAGATGTTTGTGAAGAAAATCAACCATAGCACCTTTAGCATAAGGCTTGGTTCCCAAATGCCAGGCATGAGAAGTTTCCAAAGGAGCATTTCTTTCTTGGGGAAGGAGGCTGAGTTGGGCAACACTTTTTATGAGAACTTAGGAGGAGGATCACCAGAAGTTCACCGAGTTTGGGTAATAGTTCAAAGATGGTTCTTGGAAATAGGAGAAACTGTTCTTACAGATAAGGAACCAACCATTGTTTGTGATTTTACCAAGGGGATGGGGAGGAATAGTTAGGGGCTCAGTTTAAGTGGAAGAGAGGAAGAGAGGAACATCTAAGGGGGACAAGGACATGCAAGGGACACACTGGAAATTCCTTTAGGGTCTCTTGCAAGGACCCAGTGCAAACCCAGGTCTTCTGACCCCTGGCTGAGTTCTTCACATCTCACAGATACCCCAGTCTTCCCCTTTGGTGTGATTGAGAAAGAAACATGGGTATTCTGGACCCACCCATGGAAGGAGAGATTGCAATAAGTTAAGGCCTGGACAGCAAAGGCAAGAAATTGGAAGATTTTACCACTTTGCTCTAAGTATGTGATTTACCTTCAGTTGGACCAGGTCCTGCAGGAGTTGAATCCTATATACTGCTGGCCTGAAGCTGTAGGTGAACGGAATTCTGCTTTTAGGTATTGAGAAAACCCAAGGACTTCCTTACAAAGAAGGTCCATTTCCTGATGGCTTGGCTCTGGAAGCTTCCCTAGATAGACAGCTGTTGTGTCTCTTAATAAAACTGTTTCTGAGCTTGAGCCTCAGATTTTTCAGCTCAGCCTGGATGGCCAGGCCTGCAGCCCATTGTCCCTTTCTCTCCAAGGGGCAGTCAGCCTTGTGCACTGGCTTTCCAGAGACATGGTGTATCAGGGTCTTCACTTTTCCTTGCTGTGCCTTTAAGAGCTGCAGGAATGCAGAGTCTGGAGGAGGGGGTGGATCTCTGAGCAGGACTGCTGGGAAAAGGATCCTGGGAATTGTTGCCAGAAACTAAACTGACATTCCAACTCTGAGAAGTTGGGGGTGGTTTGTGTTGTGTCAGGCCTGTGATTGGACTGCAGAGTACACTAGGGAGGAGGAGCACAGAAGTAAAAAGCAAAGAGCTGGGGAGAGGGGAAAAGCCCTCTTTACCCCCAACCCCATGCATACTTACCCATGCCTGGAAGAGGGTGTAGCCACTAGCCTAGCGAGGGTCAGCATGTGTCAAGGGTGGTGGCAACAGATGGACTCAGGAAGCTTTCTACCCCAAGATGGGCCGCAAGGCTTCCAGGGACTGGCCTGCCAACAGCTGGACTTGATCACCAGCTTGCAAAGTGAGGTCATGCATCTGGTGGAATAACAAGCAGATTTTTCTCTCCGGCTGTGTTTAGAGGGTTTTCACAGCAGCTAGAAAGCAGATCACCAACTGGACCCTTGAATTTTCTTCAAGAAGCTCAGCATAGGATATTCCACCCCTGGGTGGTTCGCAGGACAATGATGGCCCTTCTGCGAGCTTCTGCTTTCCTGGTTCTGCTCCTCGCGGCTTTTCTGCCCCCACCGCAGTGTGCCCAGGACCCTGCCATGGTGCACTACATCTACCAGCGCTTCCAGGTCTTGGAGGTAGGTGGCATCTGTGCACCTGCTCTGGGGAACATGCCTCCCAGAAGTCACTTTACTCACCCTTCCCTATCTACTGGGATGCACTTTTCCCAGATAGCAAATGATAAAAACATTGCTAAAGTTACACTTGAAATTTTTCATGGTCCAGGGTCCAGACTGCTCCACTCCCAGAGCTTTACTCTGTGCTCTGGTTTGGCAGTTCTTCTCATCTGTAAAATGGGGATGATCATAGAATTTGCCTCCTGTAGTTATTCTGAAGATTTAATAAATTAATCCACACTTAAAACATTGCCTGACATAGTAGTAAATGTCCAACATGTTATTATTCAGTAGTTCCATTTTTAAAATATGAAAATGTAAAAATTTGATCACTTTTCTTCATATTTTACTCTATCAGGGTGATAGCAGATTTTAACTTTTTTCCTTTTCATAAACTGTTAGACCACTGTCAGAGTCATGATATTGTTGTATCTGGAAGCTAAGTTTTAGCTTCTTTTGCTGAACTGGCCTTGGATTTAGGATGAGTAGATTTCAGCAATGTTAAACAGAGAACATGGTGGGGCCCTCTTCTCCATATGGTGCAGCTGCCACTTCATTAAAATTGGCAAAACCCAACATTTTTGTAGCATGGACAGGCTCCCAGGGAAAAATGTAGCCATCTGTCCTTAGCCTTTGACAAACCCCTGGCATTGACATTGACTTTGTCATACTCTGATTGCCTTGCTTTTGTACAAGTTAAATATTCATAAATTATTTATCTTCTTTCAAAGACACTCTTATCTCCCAATATCTATTTTCTCTATCTTCCTGAAAAATCTTAAAGTCCAAATTATTTGACCACTTAGTTACGATCAGGATAAAAGAATTCCACCGAGTAGGCTGAATGCACTTGCTACATTGTCCAGCCAACAGACTGAGGCCTGGAGACAAGGGGTGAAATGTTCCCAGGCCAGTAGCCTCTTGCTACTATTCGTTTGCTGTCTCCTCAGACACCTCCTCCCCAGTCTCACCTCCTTGAAAGTGCCAAAATTATTCTCAACCATGGTCCCTCATAGGACATTTAGCACCAGCTTGCCTGAGGATTAACACCAGGCAAATTCCTGCAAGTTTTCTTTAGACCCTGAAGAGCTTGTCTGCAGCAAGAGTGTGAAGCCCTGACCAATACCCATCCTAGCTATGAAGGTGGACTTGAAAAAAATGGGGATATGATGTGCATGCACCTATCTGCTCTGCTCACGACCTGGAGGGGAAGCCAAGTCCCAGGCGGCAGTCACTGTTGGCTGACGTGTACACTTAAAAAAAAAGTGTTATAATCCCCACCCTGAGGAATTTGTGTCTTGAAGTAAGAAAAAGGAGGACAGATCAGGGCATTATTCTCTCGGTCTCTGTCTCTATCTCTATCTCTATCTCCTTCTCTCCTTCCCATTCCCTCTTTTCCTCTACCTCTTTTTCCCTTTAAAATGAACAGTCTTACATGCTGTTTGGAGTATACATTTTTACAACTTTTGTGGAGAGCACTTTGGTAAACTGCCAAATGAACTGTAAGTATAAACCTTCTTTGCCCCAGCAACCCTATTTTCATTCTCCATTCATTTATTCTCTATTTCATAAGTACTTTTTGAGTGCTACTTTGTGTGAGGCCCTGTGCCAGGTGCTGGGGATGGAGCTTACTTCTGGAAATGCATCCCAAGAAAATAACCAGATAAGTACATGAAGATGCAAACACAAAGACTTTTTTCAGCATTGTTTGAAAGGCCAAAAATTGAAAACCATATAATTGTCCACTGAAATTAGTCTAGTGAAATAAATGATAGGATATTAATTTAATGGAATTCTGTGTCATTAAAATTATGGTTTAGATATATACAAATTGGTTGGAATATGTTCACAGTATATCAGCAAGTTAAAAACATGTTACAAAATATACATATAGTAAAATCACACTTTAAGATACATATTTTTTGCATATGTCAAATGCATGGGAAATCTTAAAAACTGATATACTAAAGTACCAATAGTACTTTGGATTAAGAAGTTATGGATGATTTATATTCCCCCATTTGATTATTTGTATTTTTTAAGTTTTTTCCTATGAATGATAGCTACTTACATAATTTAATTTAAAAAACTAGCAATAATGTGGGAATTTATTTCCTGACTGAAGCAAAGACTGGAAAAATGTACCCAAGCAACGAGGGCATACATTCAAGACTTCCAGGAGTTCTCGAAAAACATATCCGTGATGCTGGGAAGATGTCAGACCCACACGAGTGAATACAGGAGCGCCGTGACCAGCCTGGCCCTGAGAGTCGAACGTGCCCAGCGGGAGGTTGACTACCTGGAGTACCTGCGGGAAGCTGACGTGTGCGAGGAATCGGAGGACCAGACCCTGGCCGAAAAGCTAGTCCAAGAAGCTGAGGAAGAGAAAAAGATCCGGTCTCTGCTGAATGCAAGTAAGAGATCTGCTTCCTTCATACCCGCTCTAGGGCCTGTCGCAGTCAGAGGCGGACTCGCCGCAGAGAGGGGCACCCAGTACGAGAGAGTGAGAACATGGTGCACATCCTTGTGCGCGGGTGCTGGGAGGGACACCTCGGCAGGAAGAATCATTCTCCAAAAGCCGTGTTTCCTTTCACAGGGGCTCCTTGAGGCCCCGAAGAAGGCCAGGGCTGCAGTGTGAGGTCAGCCTGGGTACAGCCTCTCCAGATAGACTTGGTTTGGTGGAGGTGTGTGGTCCCAGGTGCTTCCAGGGAGAGCAGCAGGTTGGTGGATTTGCCCAGGGCCCTGGGAGTAGGGAGCAGCTGCAAACGTGCCAAGAAACAGCCTGGAATGGGAAATGGCAGTGGCCAGCCCTCTGGGCCGGGGACTGCAGGGAACTACTAAGCTGTGTTCTGTCGGGATGGTGATACCTAGGGGATTGTCTCCAATCTGTGATCCATCAGAATCACTTCCGGGCCATTAAGAATAATGGTTAGGACCTCACATTATAATAACAAGCTAAAAAAAAAAACCATAAATGAGAAGGAAAATTTCCTGTGCATTTGTCCATTTTATTAAGATAAAGACATAGACAAGACCCCAGCTCAGAGTCTGTTTGAGATGGTTTCACTGAAAATAGGAAAACTTGATTTATATGTGAATTTTGTCTGCCTTGAGTTCGAGAAACTCCAACAGGAAAATTAGTCCTAAGTTGAGTACCATCATCATCATTGTGCAAAAGGGTTTCACATATCTTCTCAATGTAATCTTTGTAAACTCCATTTCTGTATAAGAATCTTTAAGATTCTTTATAGGAATCCATCATCTTTTTAAAACCCCATTATAATAAGGGTCTTCCTAAATGAGGTGACATAATCTGAGTTTTGAATAAAGATGTTAGGAAAGAATGAGTGAAGGGCTCAGTAAGTGGGGACATGGTGTAGCAAAGGCATGAGGGAGGCGCGGATGTACAGATGTGCCCGGGGGAAGCTGTGTGGGCAGGTGTGTGTAGGGAAGCAGACTGAAGAGTTCAGCAGGACCCAGATGAAGAAAGACCTTGCATCCTAAGCTAGAGGACTGAACTTGACTGGAGAAACAATAGAGAGAACCACTGAACAATTTCAAGCAGGGGCATGGCATGAAGGAGGAGGGCGAGAATAGAGAGAGAAGGCCAATACAGCTGCAATTTGGACAACAAGTGATGATGTCTGCTTTAAGTGTCAGTGATATAGAGAAGGCCGCCCGTGTCCACAGGCAGCTCACAACGTGACTGTAGCTCCTTCAAGAACAGATACATTTGAGGGCCACTGGGATTGGAATCCACATGGTCTGGTGACTGATAATTAAAAGTGAAAAATGGATGAGAAGGATGTGTCCAAGATGTTTCCCAGGTCTTTGGCTTAGGGCGGTTACTGGGTGGCTGGTCTGAAATATGTTGAGATAAGAAACCCAAGAGGAGTTTTGAAGCACTTATTATTCTACTGTTTTTCCAGAGCACTTTTTACTCTGAAGTGTATTTGCTCACTGCTTACTTCCCCCTGCCCCTGCCCCATCTAGAATGCCAGCTCTCTGAGGGCCTGGATCCTGCATTTCATGCTCCATGCTATATATATCCCAGGGCCTAGAGTAGTGTCTGTGTTCAACAAATACAATGAATCACTAAGTGAACAAAATTAATGAATGGACAGAGGGATTGTCAGCCCAGACAGAGGGGTTTTGGTAGAAAAGACAACATCACACCTCTGAGTAAGAAGACAGACATTCTCTGCCCAAGGATAGAATTCAGAATGCCAGTTTCTTCTCTTACCATGCAATGTACTGTGTTTTACATACTGTGCCCATCATTGCTTTTTTGCCATTTCTGCTAGTAACTATGCCTGTCTTAGTTTTCTAATGCTGTGTAAGAATTATCACAAATTTAGCAGCTGAAAACAATACTCATTTATTATCTCTGAGTTCTGTGGGCCAGGACTCCAGGCATAGCTTAGCTGGACCCTTTGCCCAAGGTCTCAGAAGGAGACAATCAAGGTGTTGGCTGGGCTGCATTCTCAGCTGGGCTCAGGGGCCTCTTCCATGCTCACTGAGATAGTTGGCAGAATTCACTTTCTCATGGTGGTAGGGCTGAGGTCCTCAACTTGGAAAGGCCACCCATGTCCACAGGCAGCTCACAACATGGCTGTAGCTCCTTCAAGGCCAGGAGCAGAGTGTCTCTTTTCGGGAAGTTCCTGATCCCTCTTTTAAGAGTTTTTAACCGATTTAAGTCAGGCCCAAGCATAATATCTTCCTTTTGATTAACTCAAATCAACTGATTTGGGACTTTACTATAGCTGCCAAATCTCTTCCCCTTTGTCTTAGAATGTCCTTAATCACAGAGCGCTCTCTCTCGTCCACATTCCCAGGTGCTGCCCACACTCAAAGAGAGGAAATTATATAGGCTTGCCCACCAGGGGAGGGAATCTTGAGGCCATCTTAGAATTCTGCCCCCCTTGGTGCTCTAGTCTGCTAGGCCCAGGGGGTATGACTAA